ATTTTGTTTGTTTGTGCTGTGGAAGGGATGAGAAAATGACTTCTATGTCCCTCTGTAGTCTGCTATAGTGCAGAACCTAAGTCCATCTTTTCTCCTTTTTCCTTTGCATCTTTATCAGGTGCTCATTATTGCCTTTTTCCAAAAAACCCTGGGCCTCATGCAAGAACATRWTTGTATTCTTATCTTAAATTTATCTTACTTTTGTTTGTACGAAGGGTTCATATGAACATGCCTCGTCAGATTCAACAAACCCTTCTATCTTCAGGAAAAGTGTGTAAATGAGGAGCGTAAACTGATGAATGCGTATCGGGTGTTCGTACACGAGGAGAGGAGATTAGCATAATCTACCACCCCAAAAACACCATATAAGGCTATGCTTCCTGCCACACGTACCAGGAAGTGTCCATTCATAAGTGACATCGCAAAGTAAAAATGAAGAACTTTACGAGTTCAGATATTGAAGTCCTGCTCTCGGAGATCCACACAAAAAAAATGTCATTTTTAGCAGCGTCAGCTGTGGAACTAAAGGATCTGCTTTAAAGCCAAGGAATGAAATGACGACTGCTGTTAATGTTGTGTCTCCTGTGGGTCGTACAGTCACAGAAATAAAAACCTAAATCGTATTCATCTCTCTGTAGTCCTGCTCCAGTTTTTCTTTGGTCAAATATTTTTAATTTCAGTGTAAACAACTGTGTTACAAAGGTTTCATTTATTCAGAAGAACAGTCGCGCAACCGCACGCCCCCACCGTCGCAAGTGTCAGATACGTTTCTGAAAATAATTTTTTTTAATTTCTCAAAACTTCAATTAACTTCATATTAATATTGCTATATAATAAAAATTAATAGCCAATTTATTTTAATTTAACCAATAAATGTCATTAGTCGACATTATTACATTTAAAATTATAACTCTAATTCAAACAGAATAGCCTCTTGTCAACACAATTATGGAGTGTGATTTATTTTCAACACGAAAATATCTTCAAACTAATGAAATATAAAGTTATTAATGAAGAAAATCCATCTGATAACAGCAGACTGACTGCTCGTAAAATATACGACAGGTCTGGACCACTCGTGAATTTTGTTCGTATCTGAAGAAAATCTTAGAATACGAAAACATTGGTGAATGCCACAAATTCTCCTAAATCACTCGTACGCACAACTTAAGAACAAATCTGTACGTACGAATGGTTCTTGCATGACGCCAATGTGTGTGTCTGTTACAAAAAATAAATCACATCACTGTACAGCTTATAATCAAACTTAAAGGAAATACATCAACAAATAAATAACCTTTGACGTCACTGAATTCTGAATTCATTTCACAAGGTATATGCCCTTTAGGAGATCACTGCACCAATGAAAGCGTCAAATGCAAACACCTTCACCACTTGTGAGAGTGTGTGCGCGACACTCAAAAGCATGACCGAGCCTTAACAGATCACTTAAGGGTTGGCCTGTCTGTTTGCAAACTATCTTGTGAACTAATGGATAGATCTAGAAGATAATCATTGGAGTCGTTTGCAGCTGATAAACTTTTGGAGGCAAATAATTTCAAAATAGTTGCCATAGAAGTATTATATTGGAAAACACAAAACAAGAATGTACCTATGTGGCATTTACACAAAAGAAACAAACATTTGGTGTGTTGCTAGTGGAAAGTGGCCATGGCAAACATACTGTATGAACCATAACACTTCATTCTACAGCTATTGGACTAAAATGTTGTGTGATGTAGTAGCTTAGACTCATAGTTAGCACATTCTTTGACAACTAATACATTTCACAAGATCTTGCAACACTGAAAGATATTGCGCATAATGCAATTTACAAAGCTGGACCAAAATAACATGGTCCCCTTTTATCGTACGATGGTTTTAGTTGTTTGTAACGAAAGGCTCTTGGTGCTAATATTATCTTTTTTTTTTCAACTACAGAGTTTTGCTAAAACAGGCTGTTTAGTTAAGACATGGGATACATACAGTGGTTTGCAAAAGTATTCATACCCCTTGAACTTTTCCATATTTTGTCACATTACAACCACAAACATAAATATATTTCACTGGAATTTAATGTGAAAGACCAACACAAAGTGGTATACAATGTGGAAGCAAAATTTTACATGAATCAAAACATTTTTTACAAATGAAAAACTGAAAAATGCGACGTGCAAAAGTATTC